CTCAGTGGATAAAATGATCTGTAACTTTCAGAGGTCTTTATGTGACCGTGAACGATAACAGCATCAGCAAAATTTATCAGATTTTGAGCAATTGGCCGACGAGGAATATAAAGGTTAGTTTGGACTCATTCGCTCCAGTTTTTTTTACGGTTCTCGTGCGAATGCTCAAAATCACGCCATAGGACTCAGAAAAAAACTCGGACCAAATCAGTTGTGGCCTCATAGTTCCTCTCAAAGCAGTGGGTACTGTCATTTGACGAGCAGTCGAAAGTGAAAAATGCAATGTTAAGCGAAAAAAGCAAGCAGTAAAGTACCATAACCCAAAAATTGCATCCATTTTTTTGGTCTTGAGTTTAGGGACGACATTATAAGGCTAGTTCGCATCGTCAAAAGAGGGTTTCCTGCTCCGAATCTCTGCAAGGGTTAGATTGCAGAGGAATAAGGGTCAGTGGGAGGAACACTCGAATAAAATCACATACAGTAGCGGTCAAAAGTGTTCGCCGAAACGATTTTTAGTGCATTATTTTTTCTCGCTTGAGCAACGCCCTCCAAAGATTGATATACTATGTTTTCTAGTGTTTTTATATCCTCAAGTCTTAAGAATCAGGATATTCAAAAGAAAAATTTTTGAGGCCACCATTGATTTTTTTCTGGCAAAAAAAAAGAGAAGCACAAAAAACCGCTTCGGCGAACATTTTTGGGAAAGGCCGATCTAAGGCATTTTAATTCAGTTTGAGCTCTCCTCGTTGAATAACTCCTGTGCAGGCACTTTCTGTAGCGAGCATTTTTTTGAAGAGCTGAATTAAGCAACCTATCCTCGGGCTCTTCTTGCCTCTAGGCTTTCAGTTTCTTTCTACGCTCACTGTTCTGCCACGTTTATTCTGGAAGAAATATATTCTTCCCTTAAGTCTCATCTCGAGGCTATGCATCATTTCAGTGGGTGAGGCGTTGCTCATCCAACACTTGAAGCCCTTGCCTTGTCAAGATCTTCATGGCCTTTTAGCCACCGAAAAATCTGTTACATGGTGAATGTCACAAGCTTAAAAAACGTTATATCCCAGCTAAATGACCGGGAAAGGTAAAATTTCCGAGCACGGTGTATGGCAACAGCACGGCGTCCTTCGTTTTCAGGCGATTGTGGTGACCGATGGTGAACGAATTCTTGGACTTGGCGACCTAGGCACTTATGGAATCGGAATACCTGTTGGCAAGCTAGCACTATATGTAGCATTGGCAGGAGTGCAACCGGAGTGGTGCCTACCTGTTATCATTGATGTCGGTACTGACAATCAGGTTAGCTTGTTCGGCTTTGTCTACATCGGCAGCAGCATAAGTTTCTCAGAAGCTCGGCTTAGTCACCACCGTACATTTTAGAGGATCTTCTCAGGGTTTACTGAACGATCCCTTCTATACCGGGCTAAGGCGAAAACGAGTTCGTGGAGAGGAATACGACCGACTCATGGATAACTTTATGAAAGCCTGCACTAAGCGGTCAGTGATGTTTGTGAGTAAGCAGGGATCATTTTAAGAGGACTTAGCAAGGGCAGCAAAAATTATGCCAGTTCAAAAACCTGCTGAGTTTCTATCGGTTCAGGTTCGGTCGCGACACTCTTATCCAGTTTGAAGACTTTGCTAACCAGAACGCTTTCCGCTTGCTTGACAGATATAAGAACGAGTACTGCGTATTCAATGATGATATCCAAGGTTAGTGATCCTTGAACTATTCGATCGTCAGAAGATTGTGAAAATCATTCTGTCTGAAGTATCCACTGGCCTCCGCCGGTCAATTTGAACACCAGATCGCATTCAAATACCGTCAAAAAAATTCTTGAAGAATTGAATGCGTGGCGCATCTTCTAGTGACTAGAAAGGTGGGGTAAAATGCTTCTCCCTCTCCATCTTAGGAACTGCCGCCGTCGTGGTCGCCGGTTTAATGGCTGCTACGAGAGTCACGAATCGTGAGCTTCATAAGCACAAGTTCGTGTTCTACGGAGCTGGAGCAGTAGGTTTTCGTCGATTATGATTTTCCACTGTACTCAGAAGGTCACAAGCACAGGTTTCAGGCAGCTACTGGCATAGCAGAGCTGTGTGTAAAGCAGATGACAGAGGAAGGCCTCAAGCGAAGAAGAGGCTTGCGCCAACATCTTTTTGATGGACATTGATGGACTGATAACGAAACATCGCTCCAACAACTTGCAAGATCGCCATCTAAAGTTTGCCAAGGTTGCCTTATCTGTTATATGAGAAGTTCATATAAATTAAACCAAGACTTTCAGACTAAAGGTTTCTTCAAATATCTATTATTTTCATTTTTTTTTTCAAACACTTGGGAATAATGACCATCCTCTCGAGCAAAGTTCAGATCCAGTAGACTTATTCGCTCTTTCATATCTATTATTACGAGACTACTGCTTACAAACAAAGAGACAAACAGGCAGACAGACACACCAAACTACTGCTTTATATTCAGAGGGGATATAGTAAACAGACTTATAGTTAGCAGTGGTACGCGCTTGTGTTGATTTATAAAAATCGATTACAAATATCTTTCGGTCTTGGACGAAGAAATTTCTTGATCCAAAACTAACACCCAGGATTTTGATTCCAAAAAAAGTCCGTGCGAGGCTGTCAGAGTTACAATGAGTGAGAAATGGAAACGCTGTAGGTGAAGAAGGAATGAAAAATTTAAAGGTAAGCCCCGAGATTAGGCTCACTAGGTAGGAACCACGACCCCAGTAAACTTGTTGGGTCGTACCTACAAAGGTCGTTCATGCTTCATCACACAAATTGCGCGGTTAGGAAAAGTCAAATCGCTAATCTTTGAAAACTTGACCACCTCACAACGCTCCCCACCCACCGCGATTGATGTAGAAATCAGCGCGCTCTCTCGTACGAAGTGCTCTCTCCCGTGTTTTGCCTTCCCTATCAAACTGTCTCACCTTCGGTTTTATTGTTAGCGCCAATTCAGAGCCTTAATTTTAAAGTTTCCGACTGTTTTTCTTGTCTTTTATCCCACCTTCAGATTCACTCGCGGATCGCTTTCCGTTACGAAGCGGTCATGTACACCGTTTTTAGCCGGGGTTTTGTCTGTTAAAGAATAGTCGTCGGGCCATAGCTCTACCGTGAATTACAAGAGCCTCAGGAATTTCTTGGTTTCTATCCAAATCTTTGTTTGGGGTTTGTTTTGTGATTCATTATAAATCTGTAGTCTTTTAGGATATGCCTGACACGAAAAGCTTGTTAGAAGTAATAAAAACCGTGAAACCGGATGGTATAATCGGTGAGTTGGATGAAAGGCTCTTGTTTTTATAGTAGCAAAGAGTGCTGGGCAATAGCTCCCTTTGTTCATAAGTCACCTCTTTGTCGCTTACATTTCTCTTTCGGAGGCTTTTACAAATATTTCCGCGAACTTTGATAACATTTTAAGATTAGCGATGCATAATCAATATTTGATCAAGATTAGAAGCCTTTTGATTAACTGATCTGAGCATATTCTAGGATCCACAGTTTTAAAAGCTCTCTTTGAATGTAAAAAACTGTAAAATGTAAAAAAATACCCAGCTTCACCTGGGATTCAGACGAAGTTCTCATTAATTCGTTTTTTAGGCGCATCCACCGTGGGCGGTCGTTCTCAGAAGAGATCATCACCGAAATGGCACGCATCAACCAACGACCATTATTTTTGCGCTCTCGAATCCCCACAAGTAAAGCTGAATGTACAGCCGAGGACGCCTATCGAATAACAAACGTAAGCGAATCACTTTTATTCACCTGCCTAGCCAGCAGTCCATTTTTGAAGGATTCCAGGGCTCTGTACTGTTTGCTTCTGGGTCACCATTCGAGAACGTGGAGATGGACGGAAGGATCTTCAAACCGGGTCAAGGCAACAATGCGTACATTTTCCCAGGTGTAGCACTCGGAGCAATTCTCTTCAAGGCCAAGCACATCTCCGCGACAAGGCGTTCCTATTGGCGGCGCGAGTACGTACAGCACTTTTAACTATTGTTATTACATAGTTGTGGCTGGGGAGATCGCGTTCGCGGCTGTGCTTGAAAGCTGGTCATCGTCAGGGAATGGTAGATCCGTGGTACCTTGAGGGTCGTCCGTCTCAATCGAGATCTCTTGACCACAATCCTATGAACCCTTAATCATAGTACTTCAGGGATGCGGCGAATTTCGGTGACAGAAAATCGGTTGAGACACGTATGCTCGTTGTGTACCTCGCATTTTGAAAAGAGTATCGTGAGCTGTCTGGTCTATGATCGCTATTGATGTGAGTTTCGGACTGAGATTCTAACAAAAATGTCTTCCATTTTTCATTACCTGGGTAGAATTGTTTTAGGAAGTTTTTGAAAGAAAATCCGTGGCAAAAGAAAAAGTTGTGAAAAAAGTAGCTTATTGTGTCCCTAAGTTCGTTGCTTTTAGGTAGGGAATTATCTTTTCAAACACAATCTAGCCACTCTTCATCCCGCGCCGGAAGACAAGGTTAGCATTTATCCCAGCTTTCCTATTCTTTAACATGCTTGCGCTCCTTTTTCTCGAGTTTTTTGTATTCATTCTATAGATAATACATTAACAGAACTATAAACCACATGGCAGCCAGAGTGGTCAAATATCCCTTGATTTAGCAAAGATTTTCTGAACGCCCAAAACTTTCACTTCAATTTTTCCTAGTATTCCTTTCACTGTCGTAAACATTCACATGAAAGATTGTAGAAGCAGTTAATACAAAACTCTGTGAGTTTCAAGATATTTGTATTGATGGAAGAACTTAGGTATAAATGCTTTTAACTTCATTCGCAGCGAAAGTGATGTTTTTTGCTTCTTCGTGGTCATTATGCGTTCTTCTAAACAAAAATCTACTGCTATTTATATAGTTAACCTTTATGCTTTCATCCTTGCCGAAATAATTCTATGAGATTCAAGTTGTTGTGCATTTTAAACAAAAAATAAGCGGAAGTAAGGTGAGGACGGCGCGCTCGCAAAATCGCTCCTGTCCCACGCGGTGCAAAATGCCAAAACACGCGATGTCGTCAACGTGTTAAAAATAGGCTAACGCCCATGACAAACCGGCAATCGAATGTTAGCTAAAAACAGCTGTGCCATGTTTGCTGCATAAATTCCACTCGGAAGCTGGCACTGGCATGTGGCAGGACTGGTCCTTCTAGAAGAGCAGAAAGTTCTTGTAATTGCCCTGTTAATGAGTTTTGTACTCATTATTAGAGTAAACGTTATTTTTTCGTATAAATTTGCTGATTTCTTGGCACACACTTGCGTGTTTGTGATGTACCCCATAACCCACACGGGAAAAACGCAATGGGACGACAACAAACTAGCGCTAATTTCAAGTCTACATATTGACGCCACGAACTTGAAGGAGGATTCCACGATAAGAATGAAGGTCGAAGAAGGGGAAATTTACCTAGTGGAGAGACAGGCGGACCCCTAAGGGTGCGGACCGAACACGCAATTCGCATCGAAGGATATGCCCCGGCGATCTAGCATGGCCTTCCCTTTGGCGCAGTTGGCCCGGAACGCCCACCGACATAGCAGAGAGAGCGTTAGCGTTGAAGAGGGCACGATGAGAGTCGCATCAATGCGGAAATCAACGGGCAAGGAAGGGGTCCCATTTCTCGGGTTCCGGGCCGTTTCACATGGTTTCTTCATCTCTGCTCCACTGACCACCTCTACCCTTATTTCCAATGAGCTAACTTTTCATCGTAAATTCTGCGTAAAATATGCTTGTGAGAAAACGTGCCTAATTCCTCGTTGAGAGTGCTCTGCTTCAGGAGATGTTCATTCGACAACAAATCTATTCGGTCGAATACGATGAGCTCATCAACAAAACATATTCCTGGCCTACCAAGGACATGAAACACGGCTTCCCAGTGCCGGTCATGGAACGAAGTTCTATGGATGAAGAATAAAATCATAACCAATAAATTAGATGGTTTGGTGACTGGTGGCTCGTTCTGAATCTCGCTTTCAAGAAAATCACAG